GATACCTGGTAGGATGGATGTTGTGACTGATTGCTGTTTGCAAGGAGGGTCTAAAAAAAAAAAAGAAATGGGTCTGACTTTTTAAAAGAAGACCTACCATTTGCACACAGCTTAGGGATCTGAACTTTTACAAATGAGATGTGATGGTCATTCTTCCTGTGATCACCTACAGGAAGTGAAAGTCAGTAAGCTAACTGAAAAGGCATTATTCTGGAAACAGCAGCACAACCTTTGGAAAGTTTCTTGGCCTCACACACTTCAACAAATTGCCTATGTTCAGCTCATTTAGGTTGAGATGAGAATACCCAAATTTGCAGGAAGATATCTTACATCAAAATGTGATTTATTGAATGCTGGAGACCTTTAAAATGATGAATAGTGTTGTGGCAGTGCCTGCTATAAACAGTGCTCATTCACTGTTTGTGGTTTGAATTACAAGTATTTTTTTTACCTTACATACAGCATTTCATCATATTAATTTCATCCCCATTATCAACAGATTGGTCATAGTATTGCTTCTACTCCTTACTTGATGTGCAAAAAAACTTAACAAAGCTGCAAATACTACTGAGAATAGAATTCCCTTTGTGCATGTGCTGCACCTCCCATCAAAACATTAAATACGACTTAAAAGAAAAGTTAAATCAAGATCCAAATATGCCTTTTTCTAGAGATTAAAACCTCAGTTTGAAAGATAGTTCCTTCAGTTGAATGTTTCTTTCAAGGTCAGGTACAAACAATCATTCTCAAAACGGATCATAACTAGAGTTGCAGTAAATTAAACAAATTAAATGTGAAACTCAGGAGTCAAGGTTTATCAGTCACACTTGAAGACAGTAACTCAGAAAGCCATAAAAAAAGCACATTTCTTTTACTGAAATCATCAAACTGAGATGAAACTAAGACTCCTACAGTGAATGTAGGTGTTTTAGAATACAGACGCCTACATTTGGTCACTATTTTGCTCTCTTTATAGATAAACTATAGCTTACTATAGATTGCTATTGACAACAGCGAGCAGTAACAGAGGTTGAGGGCTGTGGTAATGGTCTGTGATTGAACACCTTGTGCTGAGGTCCTGCTGCTCTCTGCCTCATTAACTTTGGCAGGTCCTCTGTTCAGCACGCAGCATTGCAGACCACAGACAGGACACATTTAACTGTCTGAAGGCACACAAATGTTCACGATGAGTTTAAAGAAGGATTGTAATGACTGTAATGTTCATGGGCCTTTAAAATAGTGCTGCATGTGCAAAACATATAGTAAATTCTGTGTTTGCCCATGGAAATGGTGAATGGTTGGTTTTCATATGTATGATAAGGATCTTTTCAGATGTTCAGTGAAGTTTAACAGGGTTTTCTAAAAGTAAAGAGCATGTAGAGTCTGTGAGTGACTTCACTTTTAGGGCTCTGAGGAATATCTGACGTCTACAGTTTGGTTTTACTGCTAATCACCATCACGCTTTTAGAAGTGTAGGTGGGTGGTTACCTTATCAGAATTAGACAAAAAGTCTACCTCGAAGGCCAGCCTCTACCCTGAAGCCACTTCTCTACTGTGTGCCCATCCAGCCACTGTCACCTCCCATCGGGAAGTATTCCTCTCCATTACCGGTCTCTGTCCATCCCCCACTTAAATAACAGCAGCCCTGCCACTCCAAGGCCCATTAAGATACTGCCGGCACTGCCGGGCCACACACACAAACAGCCTCAAACTAGCCGGTCCTTTATAAATAGATGGTGGGAGAAGGAGAGAGAGGCTGGTTGGAAGAAGTAAATTATTCCAAAACAGCCAAACAGGACTGAGACTAAGAACCCCCCACCACTCCAGCATCTCCAGCTCCTCCTTTCAGGTGTCACTTTGGGCCGACTCAATTTTACATTGTAATGGACCTCCTGGGTCAACTACTTTTCTTTCACCTTCCCTTCCTTTTTTATCTCTCCACTGCTCTCTTCATCTATCAGCAGCCGACAACACATTTGCTCACTTTCCTGCAACACACACACACACACACATTATCCCCTGTACTGACTGTAGAGTTTGTACCTCTTAATTCCATCTAACACCGATTAGAGTTTGTGCTACACTTTACTGCAAACAGGGGAAATGATGGTGAGTAGCCAGCAGATTTCCTACAGAGACTGTAGAAAGCAGGGACATAACCTCTATCACATATAGGCTATTGAAAGGATGTTTCAAAGCCTGGATTTTCTTGAGCTTGCAGACATGTTTGTGACAAGTATGCTCAGCGTTTTTTGGCCAGTTATTTACATAGAATATAGTTCGTTACCTGAACAATATTTTTCTCTGCATCATTTTTTCTTATTTAAGTCCTTGAAGCAATACACAATTGAGAGGTGAGATGACGTGAGTCCTGAGTGATGGTTTCAGCTCCTGATTGGGGATGTGAGAGAGGTAGTCAGACTTTTTTCTGCTCTTAATGAAGAACAGGCCAGAGGTGGAAGCTGAAAGCTGACAGCTATTCTCCATCTCTTAGGTCATCTGTTCTCTATACATAGGGGTATACATACAAAGCATACATTTATTTTTTGACACTGAGGAACAGAGGTTTGTGGATGGTAGTGCTGCCATAAATTTTCACAGCTAACAAGTACTGTACGTGGTTTTGCTCTATTTAAAAAGCAGTGTGTTTAAATCAGTTCCTATTGGTCTCTTCTTAATATTTACTAGTGCAGTTTTGTCTGTTGACTGTGCATCTCATGTTGCTTTGATATGAACAGTGACTTCTTTTAAAGTTGATACATGCTTTGCCCACACATACAGTATCATATGGCATTGAACTCAGTCTGACTCACCACTGTAAGTGACCTGCCTTTCTTTTTTGTCTGCTGCTTCCAATCTTTGTTCTGTGCTTTGTTTTGTGTGTGTTTGAGTGTGTATCTGCATGGGTTTCATATTTCCACTATGTCCACGCCTTATCCTAGACCCGAGGTCAGAGGTCTGCTGACCTTTCACATTCCACAACCTTTTGTTCCCTCTAATTCTCTCAGTCTTCCCTCCCCTCTTCTCTCACTGTCTCTGTTACTTATTCTTCCTCTAAACCACTGGGGCATTTTCATTTTCTGCCTCTCCAAACAACACTTGATACTTTACCTCTTTAATGTGAACATCAATGATTTGGTCTGAAGTGGCCTAGAAGAAGAACTCCTGTGCTCATGTTAGCCCACAGACAGAGTCAGGCCCAAGATACATAGTAAACTAAGAAAGTGGGAGTGAAGTAGAAAGAGAGAGAGAGAGAGAATAGAAGTGAATAGGAAGCAGGCTTGTCAATCAAAGCTACTTAAGAACCGGGTGTCTTAGAGGGATTCCAGAGGCAGTCGACCCCAGTCAATAGCCTCTTCATTGATAAAACCGAAGAGGAAACAAAGAAACATAAGAAGGAAAATAAAACACATTAGAAAGCTAGCTTAGCGCTAGTTCTACTTGCATTTACTCATACTAGTACAACTTGATTAACCTTACTCATGAAAGATCTCTAGTAAATACAGTACATTGTTACATTCTGAGCTTATTATTGAAGCAATTAATATCAATTGATAAAAGACCATTACACACAGTGATAGATTTTACATTTGCTATTATAGACACAGAGGAAAAACTTAATAGCAAGCTTTGAGCAATAATATCTACCATAGTTATGTACATATACTGTATATACTCCCCTCTTAATGAGACTAGAGAAAAAGTCAACGGGTCACCAATACGTTGGGAATTCTGGAACCAGTGAATGTAGCTTACCTCACCTGCAGGGCTGAAACTTTAGTACATAAGGATTCAGGGTCAACAAGTATCTAATGAAAATTCTACACTCCTGCAGACACTTTTTTTTCTGTACAGCAGAGAATGAGACATAGAGACAAGGCTAAAGTCATGAGGGAAGGTTTGTCAATATTTATTTCTCTCTCCTACATGTACAAAAATCACCACCACCACCCCCCGCTACTTTCTAAATCTTCTATCTTTACCTTCTTTCCAGCAGTGATTCTCTGTCCTTCCTCCTATCATCATCCTCCAGCAGTGCACCCTCCTTCCATCCCTGTTTTTTAGTGTGTATAGACCAGCCGAGACAGTGATTGATCTGGCATGGAGACTGTCATGGACCCTCCTCCTCCTCCAGTAGTTATGAACATGAGGCAGGCTTCTCTTCATAGATTTTTAAATTAGTGTCAGCTTTGCTCCAAAGATGTGTTATTGACTGATGAAATAGAAACTGAGCTCCAAACACTCAGTCCTTCCCCAGAGTTTTCCTCAGCCTGGTAATTGAAAAGTGTGAAGGGAGTGTGTTCAAGGGAGCGTGCAACTCTATGTGTGTGTTCCTGTGTTTGTGATTTTATGTGTTTGTGTGCTTGCAACTGTGCACTCTTTATCTCTGCTGGAGAAAAATGCACACTACTCGCTAGAGTCAAGATTCGATTGAAGTATTGCATAGGAGATCTTTATCTTACATGAGTATTCAGTGCACCTTTAATCCCATAAATACAATATGCTGTATGTAAGCTCATAAAGGCATGGTTAGTTTGCTATAATCTGTCTGAGCTCAGAGCATCACACCTGAGTTATTGTGTTTCCTGCATCTGCTTTTACAGTGATTTGTTTAAGCAAAGCTGTCTTCACTGTGGCTCTGCTATTAAGTGCAAAACAGGGAAAGTAACACCCCTGGCTAGTTCCACAGTGCTTTTTTTTTTCTGAAATGTTTCTCATAAACAAAAACAGTTTCCATTACAAATAAGGTCAAGTCATTCCTTTCAGTAACATTAAACTTGTACTCCTCGTTGTTAACTGCTGAGACCCGAAGACACAGCAACATTGCCAAAAAGTTGTGCAACAGACAGAGGCATGAAACTACAAAAATACAGTCCAAGTAGTAATACAGTAAAATTTAGTAAATGAAATGAAACCATGCCTCCCAGCTCTCACCATCAACTCCCCTGTTGTGTTTTTTCTTCTGCAGGGTCAGACATGGCCATCTTTTGCCTGCTTTGTGGGAAGCGTTTCCAGACCCAAACAGCACTGCAGCAGCACATGGAAGTCCACGCCGGTGTTCGCAGCTACATTTGCAGTGAATGCAACCGGACATTCCCCAGCCATACTGCACTCAAACGTCACCTACGTTCACACACAGGTCAGTGGAGGTGCTCGCTAACCGTATTCGCTGAGTTATTTTTCATTTACCATACTTGCCTGCCAATAATAAACTCTTCTTGGTCCAGCTTATGAGACATAAGTGCTTCAACTGCACCAGTGCAAGAAATTACTCATCTCTACTCTCTATATACTTAAATAAGAATTTACAGTGAGCTTGCATCACCACTTGTGTCTGTGCTTTTATTTACAAAAGAGTACACCTGAATGTATTATGTGTCTACCAGACTCTTAGCAGTGCACAATGCAGAAGGGCTTTGTCATGAAAGCTTTGCTTTTTATTGTATCTTTATTCAGTTTGAGTGTTTTATTTAAGATATTTAATCACTGAAACAGTTTGAAAAGTTTGAGCACTACTGGGTGATTAATGAGCCGTGGTGTAGACATGCTGGAGTTTTAATAACATTTCTGGAGAAAATTAGCACTGAAACATGATCTTTGAGCTGTTAACATTTTGGTATGGCCTCCATATAATGGATATCAACGAGTGGTTAAAGACTCAATATTATCATGATATATTATTTTATTGTCAGATAACAAGGCTGGATTATCATCTTCCATGTGGCCGCAGATCCCCAGAGGAAGATCCTGGGTTAACTGTGTGGAAACAGGATTTTGGTATATAGGAAGATGCTCTGCTAAAACACAATATCAGTGGTGAAGATCTTACAGTGTGACCTGCTTTATTAGCTCACAATGAGGTCCTGTGTTCATCTGATGATGATGCATATTCCTGAATTCATTTATGTTTAATGGAGGTTAATGGGGGCCCAGAAGCTCATTTTTTGCCCTTGGCCCCTAAAACAGGTACTGTAAATCTGGTAATGTCTAATAGTGCCCTAAAAATTCTTGCAATGAAATTTGCACTATAACAACTCAAAAGCACATGTGCCTCATAACATGTAAAGCACATTAACATGTTAATGACACACGGAACACGCGTAGTAATTTCAGACATAGTAAATTCACATGATATGGGCACATGACATTTCAGATGTGGCAGTAACATTTGTGAAAGACTTCCATGTCAGATTATTCTCACTTTAAGTTTTGGTTTGTTTGTTTATCATGGATATGACGCATTTTCATATAATTTTTAATAAGATTTGTTTTGTAGTAAGACTCTTTGTGCTTTTTCATAAAGCGCTTTGTTCAGCTGAGTACACAGCATTAATTCAGGTGAACAATATAGAGATGGATGGATAGATATAGCCAGGATACCAATACATTGTTGGAAGGGATCAGAGGTAGCCTGAGGGATGTGGCTATTCACAGTGAAAAAAACACTACCATGACAGAATATGAACACATGGAAATGAATCCCATTTCACCAGCGAGGGGTGGATGCTTTTTTCTTCCCTCCCTCCTGCTTTCTCTCTCACCCAGCCGCCTGTCTGCGACCTTAAATAACAGTCTCACTGTCAGAGCCGATTTAGCTCACCGGCTCATGGATAAATATTTGAAACGAAAGGCAGTGAGATGAGAGCAGTCAGCCCTATTTACAAGTCAGGCGAATACACCATTAGTGTGTGGTGGTGGTGCGGGCTGAGGGTTTGGGGTGGGGGGTGGACAGAGCTGCTTGAGCCATCTGTACAGTAGCGATGCACACATCTGCTGTGTCTACCAGACACTGGCAAGAAAACAAGCAGCATCTCTGATCCACCTGCCCACCCGGGCAATGCAAATGTCACCTCAGCTCGTCTCTGGATCTGCAGATGAGACTTTGGAGCCTCGTGCCACTTTAAACCTCATCCCATTGTGGGCGTCTGTTAAATCACAATGAGCCAGCCGTGAAAGCAATCGTTTAAATATGATGTGGAGCCTTTTGTCAGGGGATTATAAAGTCAGCAGCTCACGCAGCCATCATCGTTGCCAGAAATAGGTCCTAATTTACCCTCCAAAAAAGTAGAGGCATGGTGTTCCTCTGCATTTACACTTTGATGTTAATAATCTCATTCACACTTTGCTGGGTACCAAGGCAAAAATAGTGCCTAAAAACAGTCAGTTAGACGGCAAAGTGATTCAGCCTTACAAGGCTAACTTCATGTTGCCTTGATTCTTCGGCTAAGATAGCTTTGTGTTTTCTATAATAAGGAGACTCAGAATAAATGTAATTTTATCTTTGTTGCTGTATTAATAATGCATTGTCATTGGTGTCAAATTTTATAGTTGTCTACTTAAAAAAGCACTGTCCTCTTCTTGTTTGTCTGAATGATTTTCAAATATATCTTTTAGGGGAATATAATAATAAAATATACATATACAATAAAAAAGGTTTAGAGCTCCCCCAGTGTGTCCACGGAGCAAAAGAAAATCTTTCACATGCAGTGATGCTGGCGTGTTGTTTTGACAGTATTATTCTTGACTGTTCAGTTGTAACATTAATGCTACCTTATTCACTCAGTGTTCCACCTGTTGAATGCCTCTCTGCATTCTGATTTGGTGATGGAGACTTGCATGTCTGTTTCAGCCACCTGTTGAGCCATTTACAAAGTTTTTTGTTCACAGCTGTGATTAAAAAAAATTATCTTGCCACTCAGCTGGACTACAGTCATTGTAGCATGAAGTAATTGGAAGGTGTGACACTATAGCTGAATACTTGTTCTGGTTATATTACCATAATAATGACATTTCAAGGTCATACTGTAGTTTAGGTGGGTGATATTGTTAATGAGATTTAAAGTATCAGGTGTCTTTGTTTCAGTGCATGTACACTGACAAGTACTCACCTGCAACAAAATCACTGGTTCCTACAGGTATTTTACAAGAGTCAGTTTTGGCAAGTATTTCACATAAATACCCGGATTTCAATCCTAAGTACTCAACCTAATTTTAATGGACAGAGTGTGGCAGCTCATCTACCAATGAAACCCTAGATATGGCTTTGTTATTATGTTGTATCAACTGACAACAGAAAGCAACAAAAGCACGTCTATGGACATTCATTATGTGTGCTTCATTTTACCTGTCTGCTGGCTTATCTTTTGAAAGCAGCCTCGCTGGTGTGGGCTCTGACACTGGATCACCATTTAGGGCAAGGAAGGAAAAAAACACTGATTTAATGTGTTTATTTCAGCATCTTAATCTTTCCATCTCTCTTTCTCTCCCTCACCGTGTCTCTCTTCTTATTTACCCCCATCCACCTGCAGTGTCATCACCTTCGCTTTACATGCCAGGATATTACACATCGTTACCTCCATGTTGCCTCTTTTTGTTTATTTATCTTTATTGCATGCACGTATGTATATATATATATATATATATGTATAGCTATACACCCAAATATGCAATGTAGACTTATAGCAGTGGAAGTCATGGCAGCTGTGCTATTCCCCTTCCCTGACACCACATACATAGACACACACTCTGTCTTTACAGACCAGGCCTTCATTAATATTCCGTTGTTGTGCACTGTCTGTGTGTAAGTGTCTGTCTGTGTA